AGACAAAGTATTTAAATTGTATGCTAAACCAATGAATAATTGTGCTACTATATCAAATTGTCTTCATTTACCGACAAGTGCACTATATTGTTTAGTAAAAGAAAAATGGAAGCATTAGTTAACAGCGATTTTCTGAATGTCTCATAATTAACCATTACATTATTGAAGCGGATATCATACTTACTGTATGGTAATTTAAGTACTTGATTTCATCATTTATAAAATGTTAGTCTAGTTAAACTGTTACAAAAAAGGAACATTGTGGAACTTAGATAAAACAGGTAGAAAATTTCTAAGGCCATTGTTAAAATTTCTTAAATATATAAACTTTATACAGTAGAACCTCTATTAAGGGGACACCAAAAGATACTCAATGCACAATGTATAAATCACTATTTTCTCCCTATTTTGAATATTGTCATGTTGTCTGGGGGCATTCAATGCACAATGTATAAATCACTATTTCCTCCCTATTTTGAATGATGCCATGTTGTCTGGGGAGGCGCTCAAATGCATCTCAAAGTTACAAACTTCAGGTCATACAAACAGAGTTGCCAAAATAACAACCTGGAGGACTAGGAGTGAGTCTAGCAGGGAAGCCTTACAGAGCCTTAACTTAGATAACCTTGAGGGGAGGCTGTATCAGAATGAGGCCATCACTATGTTCAAAATTACCAAAAATTTAGCACCGCAACTTCCCTTTTAACAAGCAATTCCATATTAAAGAATGTCCCTATAATACCATATCTAAAAATCATTTAACACTACCCAAACCAAGAACAGATTATAAAAAATGTAGCTTATCATACAGAGGTGCTAAATTATGGAATGAACTTAGTGATGACCTTAAAAACTCAATGACATTTCCAAGTTTATAAATAAAAATCAATTAAAAGTGCCTTTTCAGTAGGCCTAATGTGATTTTCTTTTGTAAGTAGTCTATTTTTACCTTTTTGTTTTAATTTCTGTTTTGTTGAGTTTTATAATTCCTTTATGGCCATGTTGAAAAACACCATTGTGGTGAACAAACGTTTCTGTACTGTTATTATTATTATTATTATTATTATTATTATTATTATTATTATTATTATTATTATGCCCAGTTTGAGACTGCTAGAAAAGAAAAAGGTTTCAAGAATTCTGAACAGTGTCTACAGTATGTCTAGAGGTATTTTTAAAAATAGCTGAATTACGTATTTTTAATTCACTGTTAGGTGTGTAAAATAATTTTTACTTTTCTTTATAATTTTTTTAACATACTTTCAGTTAGATTTGATATTTGACAAAATCTTTCCTAAACTACAAAAACCTAAAATTTGTTGAGAATCCGATTCTATGGACTTTTAGCTGCTAGTCGGAAATCCGAAATGGCGAAAAAATGTAGGGTTTTGCCAGGGTTGGTCACAATTGCTATTCAAAAATCTTATATTATATTCTATCTAACATTCAGAAACTGAATAAGAATCTAAAAACACAGAGTGAACATGATGTGTATAACATTTTTACCAACAGGCTTGCGACAACATACCAGCTATCAAACCTAAAGTTTATTGACATTAACATACGTCCTAGATTCCTTTTTATTTGTCACTGTACACTTTCGAAACATAATTTTTTTCTCCTTTCTCTGTCAAACAGCTAAAGCCTGCAAACTTGATCGTTGATTTTTCTAAGTATTGAGAGCCTGAATTTCTGATGCGCTTCTTTTGCATATTAAACCATTTCCTGAGAACTATTAGCGAAGGAAGATTGGACTTCCGCCAGGCCGCAAATGCACGCTGTACTTAAACAGCGGCAGCAAGTGTGAATCATGCTAAGTATACAGTGCCCATGCCTCAACTCACAGCTGCGAACGCACTGTTTGTTCTCGACAGTGATGTGTGCACTAACTGCATATACTGATATGCTTAAAAGGCAGAATAAAAGCACAACAGCCGCCCGGATATGCAATCAATCTTTGAATATAATATAAGATTCAAAATCTTTTACCTGCCAGAATACAAAAAAAAAAATAGAATTTCTTGCGACTGTCAGAACCTAAACTCTTTAAGATTCTGATGCCCGAGTTAAAGACTTGGAAGGAATTTCTTTATGGCTATTCATAATCCTTAACTTCTTACAAAATGAAACAGAATCCTAAATATTTAGGGCTTCTAAAAATACTTCTTTTGTACAAAATAAAGGTAATACTAGTTTGTATCACAGTTTGTAGGGAAAAAAAATAATACAAATAGTCATTACATAGACACTTAATTTAATGCTTGCAAATTTTAAGATTTTTTAGTATATTAATGTTTAAAAACTTATTCATTTATTTTTGTTTAATCTGTGTTACAGCACATCACGACAAATTTATATTACACTAAATTACACAATAAAAGTTCTATTAAAATTTTTAGTTTTTTTTTTTGTAGGTGTTTAGGTACACAAGTCAAACAATTTTTATTTATAACCATTATTTGTGAGTGTTGGGTTCACGAAAGTTATAAATTAAGAATAGTCTTTGCCTTAGTCACATGACTTAGTAACATATAAGCACAGCAACATTGTGGAGGATTAAGAATGACTTCATCAAAATATGACTAGCAACAAGTACAAGTCACACAAAACATTATACTCAAATCAAATAATTCTACGATAATATATGATAATTATAAATTATAGATACTGCCTAAGTGTCAAATATCTATATGCACATTTCTGGCCATATGTAACTTAGTAAGAAATTTTTCTTAAAATACAAATGACAAAAACTAATCATTTAAGCCCCAATACACAGTATTTTAAACATTAACAACCAATTATAGTATATTGTAGGTCAGGTATCCCAAGTCTCCTGCCAGTCACGGTAGTTTTCTGGAAATCAAGAAACCTCCCAGTCTCTCTCAAAAAAAAAAAAAAAAAATTTTTTAAATAAATTTTAATAATAAAAAAAAAAATTCCAGAAAATGACCAATCTCTAGGGGGGGAGCATTTTTTTTCCCCTAATAAAACCTTGAATTGAAGCTCTGGGCTTCTTCCTTTCTCTTCTTTTTTTGCGAAGTAAAAAGGGGAGGGGGGTGCCTTCTTTTCAAAATGAATGCTGTAAATTTTGGGTATTACTACTATAAAACAATAAATAGGGTCACTGTAACATTAAACTGTATCATGGAATATATTTAATCACTTAAATTACTGTATAAATCAAGTGTGTTTTAAAATTTATTTTGTTTCTTTGAAATTCATGCACATGTACTGTTCTCTACTATCTCGAAAAGAAGCCGATGGTATCTTGAAAAAAGCCCATGGGCTTCTTTTCAAGATGGACTTCTTTTTGAGGCTAATTTTGCAAACTAAAGAGGGGCTTCAATTCGAAATGGGCTTCTCGAGATTAAGCCCATTGGGCTTCAATTCGACATTTTACAGTACGAGAATTTCACTTCCATAGGAAAAGGAAAGTTCTTCCCATCATTCTTCACAGTACTATGAACATGTAAATTTCACTCATTTGGAAAGTTATTATTTTTTTTTTTACTACAAAATTGGTATTTTTTCTTGCTTAAAATAACAGATTTCTAAGCAACAGCACTACAGTATATATATTTTTTTCTTAAATTTTCTAAAGAGTTTTGCATTTGGATGCACCATTAGGTATTGCATTAAGTTTGCTGCTGATACGAAAGGACTATCCAATAAAACAGGTCTCCCTCCTTTGGGACTGGGTATCCATGGTTTTCAGCTTTGGTCTCTAATTAGAATAACAAAGATAAAAAGCACTGTTAATTTTGGACCACAGAAAAGTGGTCCTAAATTGGAGTGGTCTTTAATTGGAGCTGTCTTTAATTAGAGCGAGTCCAATATCTATCTATTTATCAATGCTCTAACCTCCTCCAATACCCCTCCCAAAAACTTGTGTTCTCTCTACATTTGCCAATTTTATCATTTGTTTTTATATTACATTATATTGTATTATATTAAAAAACAATAACAGTAAATAAAATATTCTATTTTCATTTTATATATTAAAAACAAGGTCATGTAATTGTAAGTGAAGTGATAAGCAGGTGCAAGCTTTTTGCTAAAAACAGCAAATAAGTTATTATTCAAATGTTTATAAATAGTAAGGTAATAGATCTGCAAACTTCAATTTTACGATTTTATTAATTTACATTATCTTCCTTGAGCATATTAACTGATTTCCCCATGGGATGGCATTAATTAGGAATATCATGTGATTTCCGATCAGATCCACTGATAACACGCAACCATGTCCACTAAAAATGTGCGATATGATCATTACTAAAAAAAACACATGTTCTCTGCACATTTTGGATGATATTATCAAGTTGAGTGTACTTTACAAGCAATAGGCGTTTTAATTTTTCAACTAAAATTTCCAATAGTTTCCTTCATAGAAAGGTGTTTTTGCCTTAAGGTAATTCAAAACGTCATTGGAAATTCAGTCATTAGGTCACATGTCAAATCTACTTAATATTTTACCATATTTTACTTTTTCCTTTCATAAAATCAGGATGAAGGGTTTTAAAGTTAAATAATTTGGATGGGGATATCATGGTGACCTGACAAATTGTATTTTAGCTAAACTTATAACTATAGCTGCATAATTGAATTCACCACAGCCTTGAGGAACAAAATGTCATATGATAATTACTCTGTACTCCAGGAATCATAACTATAAGAGTGGAGGGGAAGGGGGTCAATCAGGACAAATTTAAGGGGGTACCTACTCTAGCTGTATCCCTTGATTCACTAAATATGCGATGAGGACTTCTAAAGCCAAGTTCACATTAATTTTAATAAAAGGGTGAAAGCTAAAAATTTTATTATTTAATTAACTTGTTACCAAACAACTTCTGGAGAGCCATCCGACAGCAATTAACAATGCATTTCGTTGATATATGGGGTTGATGTGGCATTTCTCTTCCTCTTTGAGTTTCTATCTACTTTGTGTTTAATTTGTGATTGGTTTTTAAATACATTTATCCAAAAAAATGTCTTACCCTCCTATCATCTCTTTCTATCAATCTTTTTCTCTCCTGCTCTTCATGGGAAAACCTTTCCCCATTATGCCTCAGAGTAGCATCTTCCACGCTGTCAGATCCTGCAACGTTCCGATCACCATGGTGATTAGAATGGTTAGCCATAGCAACTTGTTCAGCCTAACTGTGGATCAAAAATCAGCAATGAATTTAAGATATACATTAATAAAAATAAAACAATTTGATCAAGTTGTGAAATCTGATTACATGGCACATTTCTTCTTTGCATAAATATCAGGTTTTTGTTTTCTTCATTCAGGACTGTTGCTATCATGCTATTTATTATAATTGATGATGATGTGGTAGACTACTTTTATTGGCTACATGTTAAGCAACAAATTTTCTTATAAAAGATTCTTGTTCAAATGTATAAACTATAAGGCCCATTTCTAAGACTATTATTGCTGAACTCTTTCTTCAGTACGAACCATCTTTTTCTCTCTGCTCTGCTAAGCGACTCCTCATTGGAACATAGTATTGTTCTTTTGCAAGGCATGGGCGTTGGCTTGGGCAATTCACTCCACCCCCACCCACAGCAGCAAAATAGTTTCACTGAGTTAAAATACTAATAAAATACCATTATTATAAGTTTTCACTGGAGTAGGTAGGCCTATTCTCAATTTTCTCACCAACCACTCCCCCCCCTCCCCACAACCCACCTATCCACAGCAGGCCAAAACCAGCCTAGGGCCTAGGCCTACACCCCTGCAAGCAGGCTTAGTACACAGCATATAGGCCTAGGTTTGAATCTATACTAAGTTTGTACTATAGATATCCACTTGGGCCTAGTACTACTAGCTACTAGCTAGGCCTGTAGATGAGTGAAATATGTTAAAGGGAGAGACATAGAAAGAGAGTATGTAAGCAAGCAGTCTGGCCTAGGCCTAAGAAAACGAAAATGTAAAAATACCTCTGTCTGGTTCTTTTTTTTTTAGTGTTGAATTATCTGCTGAAGCTGGCAATTAAACACAAAAGCCCTGGATCCTTCGTGAGTTAAAAATAAAACATTCTCTGACAGCCCTAAGGCTACATTTATGTGTTGATAAAAGCAATAACAATGTTTCTTTTTCCCCGGAGTAAATCCAAATATATAGCCTACACTGTACAAGACTAGCAGTGCACTGAGCGAATAGCCTACCCTAGGCCTAGTCCTTTTAGGATAATTCTGGCTCAGGTTCAATCAAGAAGGAGATGCACTTTTTAATGGTAAACTTACAGATGTAACACAAGTGAACTTCAAACAAACTTATACAACAGGAAACTTGTCATTCTGGGACTATTCGCCAGTTGTAAGTATTCGTCACAACCAGGTTTCGTCATCAATAAAATTGTACTGTATATTGACCTTGTTATCATTTTTAGCTTCACTCCAGCAAACCTGCTAGGCCTGGCTAAATGCTGATTAAGAAAGCCGAATCTTCTAGGCCTAGGCGAATTGTTGTTCACACAAACTACAGAAAACTTTCGACCGTACGCATGCGCATTTTCATTTTTTCCATAGTCGCCACCTGTACACACACACCGAATTGTACGCGTCACCCTGGCACACCCGGTGACACGTACGTCAATGCAACAATTTTTGCGAAAAACGAATGTTTTCGCCCATGTAGTAGAAAATAACGAAGCGCTCGTGTGAATTACAGTATTTTATTAGCGGGAAAGTTTTCCGTGTTGCGCAAATAAATTTGCCTAGTGAGAAACAGCGAAGCGTGGATAAACTTTTTAGAGGGCGCCAAACATAAATATCAGCTCATCACACCAGGTGCACACATTCCTCATCCTGACGATAAAAAACAGCCAATTCAAACTACAATTGAAAAAAATAAACATCAAAGAGAGGAGGGGGGGGGGCAGAGGAGAGAGAAACAGAGAGAGAAGGTGGGAGTGGGGTAGAAGAAAAGAAAGACCGGCGTGGAGCACAGTACTCCAAAACAATGTACCAGAGTTTATAGTCAAGCATTAAAAAAAAAATAATCTCAAACACCACTATTTATTATACTGTAATTTACTTTACTTTACTCTAGGCCTACTTTACTTTACTTTGCCCACTCACTGTCGGATGTAGGCCTCCTTGTGATCTTTCAAAAATCAACTGCTTCTCTTGCCCATGTTGTGCATGTTATGTCATCTCTCCACCTTGCTTTTGGCCTGCCTCTTCTTCCATTCGTAGGTGCATAAAATTTTCAGGAAAGTTTAACCAAGTCACGTCACAAGGAAGAAATCACCTTCGCTATCACCATTGCAGCTATAGTTCGAAAATTACTAACTTTTTTTACTTAATTTGTTTCATAAATATTCGTTGTTTTTGTTTTAATTTATTTTTCTTCTTCCATCTTGTTTTCTTTCTTTTGCACAGAGTTTTCTGACCGGCTCTTTGATCACTTGCTTGAATCTTCTCAAAATCCAAGCAAAGACTATATCAACGATGTTCACATCAAATAATGACATCATTTTACATATTTTGAATATTAATAGAAGTTATCATCCCACAAAAACAATTAAATTAAATTAAAATAAATGATAAACACGACGACGTTTTCTTATTCAGACTAAACCGACTCTTTGTGGGGTAAAAATCATTAAAAGTATCCAGTGATAGGCACAGCCTCCGGAGGATTTTTATATTGTGTGTGTGTTGTACAACTATTTTTTGTACGACACAACAAGGTTTTACAACTTCTTTTTGTAGGACACAAAAAGGATGTTTGACGAAAAACTCGGGAAAGATTAATGAGATATAGATTTTTTAATATTTAAAAAACTGGGTGGGGCAGCTGGAAAAAAGCGTGGTTACGCCCCTTGCATGTCCTAGTTTTTAAATATTCGATAATCTGTATCTCATTAACCGTTTCTGAGGTTTATGCCTTAGAAAAATAAGTTGTACGACATATCTTTTTTCCTCTGGACCCTTATTTAACGTCGTGGGACAAATATGGCAATATCGATTTCAGATTGCAGTTTTTGAAATACGATAAAACTCAAACTGCTCTATTTTTTTTTTTTTTTTTTTTTTTTAATTATTATTATTATTTTGAAGTGCGCCACCAATTAGCCTTTTTTTAATTGTGTACAGTAGAAATTATTCGAGTATTACACCATAAAAGTAGGCTAAATTAAAAACCGTACAGGTGAAAGCATTAATAAATTTTAAAAAAAAATCAAATTAACTAAACTAAAAAATAGACAAAGGGCCAAGGTTTGCTTTTAATCGCCACACACAAACGACTTGCCCAACTCCCAAAATCACGTGGTAGTTCTTTTTCCTCGTGCGAGCGTAGACTACCATGAGAAGTGGCGTTATTTTGAATTAACATAAAATTTATCAACTTGAACATAGAAAATAGAGTATTTTTAAAAAGTGTTTTATGATTTTTATCATTATCCACTATAAAAATCAGGGTTCACATTTTTAAAATTAATATTTTCTATGCTCAAATTAATCATTTATATGTTACTGAAAAGTGAGCAAGTTTATTTCAAAACTATCGACATTTCGTAACCAAGAATTTAAGGGGTTTGAAATGTCTTTGTACCAAAATGCTCGCTAAAGAATAACGAAAAGTCCGGCTTACGACGAAAATTCTGGATAGGAAAATCAGGTGCCATCCACGATGTGGCAAAGCATAAGTTGAGCTGAAACTCGTGTGCAGTATTCCTGTTCAATGCAATGGACCTTTCTGGAGTGTCAGTCAAACTTAACAACTGACCAATCAGAACAGGGACAGGAATACGCGCCTGTCTAACAAGCCCGCTTGTTGTCCCGAAACCGTTTTTTGAGATATTAGCAACAATATCAAAGCGGCGGGTTTAGCGAAAAGGAAGTCCGGGTTACGACGAAAAGTCTGGGTTGGGAAATCAGGTGCCATCCATGAGATGAGAAATCATAACTTGAGTTGAAGCTCGTTTGCGGCGTACATGGAAAGCCTCGTTTCTATTCCTTCTCACTGCAATGGACCTTTCCGAAGTGTCAATCAAACTTAACAGCTGACCAATTAGAAAAGGGCCAGGAATACCCGTGTGTCTAAAGCAGGGTACTCACTGCACCCGACGGTCGTCGGCCGACGCGATTCTATAAAGAACGGAACTCTACTAGGCGTGTGATACGATCGTTTTTAATGATGATCCGTTCAGACCGCCACCGACAATCAGCAGACGGCGTCGCGTCGTCTAGAGCTTACAAATTGCGGAGTTGTGGTCGTCGTACGACGCAGTGAGTGTCCGGCTTAACCAGCACGCACGTTAAGGTAGATTCACACGGAATCCGAATTCGGTTCGTATGGCTAACGAAACGAAAAAAAGAAAATCGAATCAGTGGTAAAGAATAGAGGCGCGCACTAAGACGCGCATCGAAAAAGTTCGACGAACCGAATTCGGATTCGGTGTGAATCCACCTTTATCAAAGATAATAAATAGCAGAAAATAGAGCAGCTTCCCAATATAGTGGAACATCCGTTCGAAAGGCATTGTGGGTACACGGAGAGCAAATCCACCCTGTTCGCCCGGCGGCGCTCTATAGTAATAATAAAGGCGCCGCTCTGATTCGTTTGTTTCCTGTAGTTTCTCCACTTAGTAAAATATTTAAATTTCACCCCATTCGCGGGAGGGCAGATGCTCCAGCAATTTTAATGCAAATACGCGGAACAGCTCGTTCTTCTCCTATTTAAGTTCTTTGCCTTCATCCCCAAACGCATGTTTGAAAGCTCTCTCTAGACAAAATTTTAATCTGGACAGAGCTTAAAACTAGGGAGCTTTCGATTTGTGCGACGACGCGACGCTAGAACGGAATCACTCATGCGTGACCGTCAGAGCCATATATATATATATATATATATATATATATATATATATATATATGGCTCTGTCTGCATTCGTAGATTTGACCAAATTGCGTTCCAGAATCTGCTCGACGAGGTGACCTAAACGTTCTCGCATGCGCAGATGACTTTTAGTGACGTCATTACGTTATACGTTGTATCGTCGTCGTGCAATCGAAAGCTCCTTTAAACTGGTTTTCCACTAGGCGAATTTATTCGAGCGAATCAAAGCGTCGGTTCGCTTCCTGAGCTCCGATTTGTTGCACATTTTTCGCTTCGCAAAAACACCGATAGGAATGTGAATGCGCATGCGCATGAACCGACGCTTTCGATTCGCGCGAATAAATTCGCCTAGTGGAAAACAGGCCTAATGTCGTTTTTTGGAACCTAGCAATAATATCCAAGGGGCGGGGCTTAGCGGAAATGCTCCCTATTATTCGTCCGAATCGACAAATCAGCGTCGCTGAAGCTCTCTGTGATAGCGTGTAGCGATGTTATGGAAATCTGGCTTAAGACAAATTCCAATATACTCTAAATGTTGATGCAATGTATTTTATTTGGTAAATACAGTATATATGTATAATTACAATCAATCTAGCATATTGTCAAGAGAATTTTAAAATTAACAATATTTGACTACTAAGAATAAATTTCTTGTTTTCTTGTATAATATATGGAGCTCTCTCATAATCAGTTGCCAGTTTTATTAGCTGAAAGTTTCCAAGGTCTTTGGCAACTAGCATATCTGTAAGTACCTATCAACTACTTAAAAATTAAGCTGCAAAATGTACGTGTCCTTTGCTGGAGGAGCAAATGTTTCTTCTCATTCCCACCTATTTTTGTTTCTTTTAAGTGCACGGAGTAGTCAGTATAATTATTTTGATCAAACCCAGTATATTACATTACATTGTGACTTAAACGTATTATAGGCCTACATTAATCAACCATTATCATCATCAAAATGCGTTGCATGTTTAAAATACAACTTCCATTGTCAGATCCTTGTTCGACGTCTTTGATCTTCTGGATCATTTTACATTTCTTTTAAATCAATTGATAATATCTAATACTCTGTCCACACTATCAAATGTTCTTTGACACGTGCCTGTTGTCTTGATGTGATGTCATCATGACTATATTTAGGCATGTTACATGTTTTTGTTAAACAAAATTTGATAGTCTGGACAGGGCTTTATTGGAAGGCCCCTATCTCAATATTATGGCCTTCTGTGTAAAAAATAATTAAAATACAGTAATAATCTAAGCCAACTGTATATTGTATCTACCAACAAAACAATGGTCAAAAATGGCACTTTGCCAACCAGATTAAGGAAATGTATAAAACATAGCTATGTTCATAAACCCGGGTGATGTTGGATTTATTATTACTCAAACG